ATTTCTGCCACGAATCCTATTGAAAATCTTTGGTAAGAACTGAAAGTTCGAATAAATCGTCGGTCGCCAAAACACCTTCAGGAACCTGTAACCATTGAAGAATGGAAGAAAATCCCAGAAAAGAATTGATCAAATCTCATCAAAAACCTTAGAAAAAGATTGCAGAAAGTTATAAAGATTAGAGGCCATGCTATTGGCTATTAATATTGCGAAAATTGGTTAGATTGCTTCTATTTTTCATACTGTACGAATAATTTGTCATTTCCTATTTTGAATAATTCACCTGTCAAATTTGCTGTGTTTAATGTAGTCTTCTGAAAATCGGTTTTTTATGTTTCTTTCTTTGTGCTTATAGAAAATCTGATATCATACAAGCATTAGCTTCTGAGAAATGGATAAAAATATTCAAAATTGATGGGTGTACAAATAATTTCGTCGTTGACTGCATATATATATATATATATATATATATATATATATATGTAGTAAAGTAACAAATCCGTTGTTATATAATCCGAGTGAATCCTAGTAATATCAAATATTAAAACTGATTCACAAAAAGAGCTCAATGTATTTATTATAACAGAGCATATAAATTACACAACAAAATCCAAAATTACCTCATAGTCCATACACCGGGGTTAAATAAGACTGACGTATTTCGCGTTGGTTGAAAGAGATCCATACCCATATGAGGTAATTTTGGATTTTGTTGTGTAAAATATATATATATTTAAAAACATTTTTATACATTCTTTTTTATAGATAGAAATGTTTAAGTAAATGCTCTGTTTATAATAAACAGTATTAACAACATTTACCGGCCTGAATGTCCGGGAAATTGTCATAGAAAAAATGCGTCCTCCGAAAGGAATCGAACCTGTATCCAATACGGAACCGTCATATAGCCTGACGTGCTTTCACCGATTTCGCCACAGAGGAGAGTTTGGGTTAGCAAGGTCGATTTTACTGTTTTTAAAATACAATTCTCCATGATTTTCTCTGGTACGTTCATATCTGCTCGATGCGTATCCAAATGTAAACAAATGACGTCACACATCATGAAATGGACAAAGTCCGACAATTATTTAAAGACATTTTTATGTTTATTATGAACAGAGCATTTACTTAAATATTTATATCTATAAAAAAAAGAATGTATAAACATAAAAATGTCTTTAAATAATTGTCGGTTTTGTCCATTTATAATATATATATATATATATATATATATATATATATATATATATATATATATATATATAAAAGGGAGATATTTTAACAAAGAGTTGGTTGTATAAACATGTTACACTTAAAATCCGGCCATTGCATACAGATAAAAACATGATTTATGTCTGAATTTCTGGGATAAAGAGTTATCATTATTTACACTATTTACATTCGGACCGTTGTCCTCATCTTTGTTGTTGCTATCAGAACGTTTCGGTCATTGTACTCCCGGGTCATCATCAGGTGTATATCGACCTGGGTAATCCCCAGGGAGTACCCTTCTGAAAATTTAATTTAATCTCCGAAGGTAGACTGTTCTCGTTCCACAGCCTTTGTATAGGGATATTAAGTCTAGTTCGTAATTTTAGTAATACTAATTTATTGATGGCCCTGTTTCTTGGGTCCAACCCAAAATGTTTTGATAACTAACTACAAAGACGAGGACAATAGTTCGAATGTGAATTGTGTATTGTTTATCTAAACGGATATTCTTGCACTTCTCAGATGAATTGGTTTCTTGGTAAAGATTATTAGAAAACTCAGAAATAGGACCTTTTTTGTAATTGTTAATCAAAGATTGAAAAATGACGCTGTCAGTAAACGCCCAGAATAAGGTTATTGTGTCCTGCGTATTACGGTTGTAATGTCACTTTGAATTGTAATCACAAGCTGCAAAGGAAAGAAAAGAAAAAATAAAATAAGGCAATAAATAAATAAATAATACGAATGAGAGACTATTAATAGCATCATTTACAAATAAACCGAAGTATTTTTTTTCTGTAGGCAGTTGATGAATGACTCATTGAAAATCAAACAATACTTTTCTTTTTTTTTCTTTTCTTTCTGTCTTTCTTTAGTGTCTTGTCTTCCTTTATGTTTATCTTTCTTTCTTTCTTTCTTTCTTTCTTCCTTTCTTTTATTTTTGAATCTTTCTTTCTTTGTTTTAATTATTATTATTTCTTTCTTTAGTTAATAGAATTTCTTTAATTTTATTTTCAGATTTCATTTTTTCATTTCTTTAGTTCATTATTTTTCTATAATTTTATATTTCTGTCTTTCTTTCTGGCTTCAATCCTTTATTTCTTTCATTCACCTTTCTTTCTAACTTTCTTTCCTTCTTTCTTTATCTTTCTTATTTTTTTATTATTCAGTATTTCTTTCTTTATTTAATTGTATTCTTTTTGCCTTTTTTCTGTCTGTCTGCAACGTTTCTTTTTCTGCAATTGTATATCTTTAATTTTCTTCTTTGTCCTTTCATCTTTCTTTCTTTCTTTCCCTCTTTCTTTCATTCTTTCTTTTTTATTGTTTATATCTATCTATCTATCTGTCTATCTATCTATCTATCTATCTATCTATCTATCTATCTATCTATGTTTATTAAGTTTTCTTTCTTTTATTGTTTATACCTATCTATCTATCTGTCTGTCTGTCTATCTGTCTATCTGTCTATCTATCTATCTATCTCTGTTTCTTAAGTTTTTCTTTCTTTCTTTTATTGTTTATATCTATCTATCTATCTATCTATCTATCTATCTATCTATCTATATATCTATCTATCTATCTATGCTTCTTTTTTTTTCTTTCTTTTATTGTTTATGCCTTTCTATCTATCTATCTCTGTTTCTTAAGTTTTTCTTTCTTTTATTGTTTATGTCTATCTATCTATCTATCTATCTATCTATGCTTCTTAAGTTCTGAACTTCATATTATCACTAATGTGAAAAATCAACAGTTATCGTCGTTTAATTTCCTAGCGTCCTGATCTCGAGACATTAGAGAATTATAATAATCTACAAATATTTACTGTGTCGCTTTGTCTCGTACAGCTTTGCATACAGGGAAGATCTTGATGCGCCAATGTTCCTAATCAGATCACTTCCCTTGAAGAACAGCATCCCAGCTCCTACCACTTACCTAAGCTCGAACCACTAACAATGACGCCAACAAAGAAGCCATCACCAAATAGATTTTACTAAGCTTTGTTTTGCGTAGAGCCACCATACTGACAAACGATCTGAAAGACTCACTTTTATCTGTAAGGCTCCCTGTAGCGAAGAGTGGATTTTCCGCCATTTTCTTTATGCATTTCAATACCAACGCCATCTAGCCCTCGTTAGCAAAAGTTGTTTCGCATATAGGTTGGGTAATTCAGCACTGTACAGTCTGTACACTGTCCATATATTTCTTAGTAACATCTAGTAAAAGATTTTAGTAGCAGAGTATCGATGAGCAACGGGCCCATTACACAATCTAAATATCGTTCTGTGTATATATTTATTAAGTTTAACCATAATGAGTGGCATCATCGTGGGTAGTGGGTAGCGAGGCTAGTTTAGTTGATGACCTCTAGAGAGTATAGTCTCCAATGTAATTTTACAGTAGAATCATTTGTAATGAATTTTTTTTATAGTAAAATCATTTGTAATACATTTTCATAGTAAAATCACTTGTAATGCATTTTGCAAAGTAAAATCATTTATACTGCATTTTTATAGTAAAATCAGTTGTAATGTATTTTCAGAGTAAAATCATTTGTAATGCATTTTCAGAGTAAAATTATTTGTAATACATTTTCAGAGTAAAATCATTTGTAATGCATTTTCATAGTAAAATCATTTGTAATACATTTTCATAGTAAAATCATTTGTAATGCATTTTCAGAGTAAAATTATTTGTAATACATTTTCAGAGTAAAATCATTTGTAATGCATTTTCATAGTAAAATCATTTGTAATGCATTTTCATAGTAAATTCATTTCGAATATACGTTCATAGTGAAATCAATCCCAATCCATTTTCTTAATAAAATCAATTACAGATATCTTGACAATTATAATGTTTAGCCAGGATAATCTGGTTAAACATTACTAATAACAAGTGAGTTCGATCCTCACTCGGTGTTCCATACAAAATTCGATATTAACTAATCTAATATTTTGCAGATATCGTAAAATCAAACAAACTCACTTCATCTAACCACAATTAGGGAACACTCGGTGAGGATCGAATTCTTTATGATAGAAATAGTTTTTAATGGGAGGGAACCATTATTGGAACTATTATATTATAATGCTGCTTCTTTCTTAGTCTCTTATTTAGTTCTTTAGCATGTACGTTACGCCCTAGCAGTACCTCATAAATAAGGGAACAATCTGTTTTAATCACGAGGAAAGACGGAAAAGACATATTAGGGGTGCTGTTTGGATTTAGTGAGAAAACAAATGAAAGGGAAAATAGAGGAGACAATAACACTTATTTAAGGTCTGCTTCACTGAAATGGAAAACCTTGTTAATTTTGAGTCTTTTTATTTGTACCCTCCTCTTTAAATAAAGACATGCATTCATATTTAAGCTGATTTGTTGATTTCTTTTTTTTACGGCTTATCAACCCTTTGCAGCATATTTAAAGCCAGAAAATATTTATAGTCTGTAATCATTTTTGGAGTGGTGCGGTGGAGATGACAATGGTTTAATGATACAAGTTTTACTAATTAACCCATAGCAGGGGTAAGAAGAAGTGGAGCCATAACATTCCCATGGTTATTTGCGCGTAAATGAAACTGGAACTCGGCTCTCCGATTGACGATTCCGAGTCATTATCTATTACACCACCCGCACACCCAAGTTTACAGCATCTGGTATTCCCAAGCGATCGCCCATCTTGGTACTGACCAGGCTTGACGTTGCTTAACTTCAGTGATCGTACAAAAACTCAGATCTCCGATTAACAATTCCGAGTCATTATCCATTACACCACAGACACATTCAGGCTTACAGCACCTGGTATTCCCATGCAGTCACCCATCTAGGTACTGACCAGGCTCGACGTTGCTTAACTTCTATGATCGTACGGGAACCGGTGTTTCAACGTGATGTGGCCGTAAGCCCTTTTATTTCTAACAGAATGAATTAAAAAATTTACATGTGAATCTTCGGGTATATTTTTCTAATTATTATATTAATTTGTAGTAATTCTTGAGGGATCATTTTATTGCTTTGCAATAATAGAAGACTGATCCCCCACTTTATGTCAGGTAGAATCTTTTCTTAATACAAGCTTTTTTCTGGGTATGACGATAAAGTACATCCAGTAACAAGTTTCAACGTGATGTAGCCATAACCCTCCTTATTCAAGATTTTTTTGTGATATTGTTAAAGAAGATAAGCTCAAATATTTAACGAGATTGTTATGAAATCTTATGCCCTTCGTTTAATTCCCAACGCTAATACGTAGTTCTTTCCTCATCCTTCTAATCGGAATCTTTATATAGTCTGGGTATTCCGGCTATGTTAATTAGTTAATCTACACATCACGACAGAGGCAATAGGAGAATTTTTATTGTTTTTATTTTATTGAAATCACAAGGAGCTTATTCAATCATTAACTTAAAAATTAAGATTTATTACCAATTCAAATAGGAAAATCGTGAATTTCCCTCAGATATTGCTAGTCTTTATAAAACAATTATATTCAATACAAACATCCTACCGCAAACAAACACAATTGGGTTTTTAAAATGTTATTAATCTGATATCAGAATACGTTTTCATCTGGAAGATGACGGGCAGCTGCGCCTAGCAAACATTCCTAGCATTCCGAAGATGTTTTTTCCTCTTTCACGTTTTCGCACAAAACGACTTCAGTTCGGCGTCAACTAAGGAAGGCCGGAAATGTTTATAATGACACTTTTCCTCGCCATGAATTCTTCGGGTTAGCGCGTGATTGTCTGCAGGCAAATTCAGTTTCCTAGCTGAAAGGAAGAATAAGTAGATGTGCTTGAACTTGAAGCGAACTGTTGTCATTCCGACATGGTCTACAGATTTCTTGCGAGAATGAATCACCGAAACAATTGACAGGCCGACATTTAGTACATTTTCGTAGCTGAAAGCAAATAAAGAGAAAGATGACTGACCGATTGAATTGAAAGAAAGGGAGTGGATTAACATATACAGCGAAAAGAATTTCCTATCTACCGATAGTAGCTTTCATGAATTTAGAAAGCGAGAGAGAGCGAAAGAGAGAAAGAGGAAATATATTTGACGACATCACACCTTGGCTTTTGTACTCGCGATGACGTTGATACATTTTTTACTTTATTTCTTCTATTTTTGAAGAGAAAACAGATTAAATTAACCAAATATAGATTGTAAGCAGGCCCCCATACGAATCTTACTGTGGGAATAAATTGTAGAAGCTTCCTTGAATTTAAAAGAAAGATTGCAAAAATAAAAACAGGAAAAAAATAATTAAAAAAAATCTACGTGATTTGAATTCTTTATTATTTCCATAACCCTTTGATCCCTGCGTTCCTGAACAATTTTAACTCTTCTGCCTGAGCTCCTGAGTCAAAATTCGCAAATAAATGGTATATAATGTTTCACGGTAGATTAAAAATAGTTACCGACCGTTACGTCATATTTTTCGACCATTGGTAAAGCGGTGGTCAGGGCTCAAAGGTTAAAATTATATATATATATATATATATATATATATATATATATATATATATATATATGTGTGTGTGTATGTGTGTATAAATATATATATATATATATATATATATATATATATATATATATATATATATATAGTTGGATTGATGTGAGTAAATATGTTAGCTCTATCACTGATATTGAGCGCTTTCAATAAGTACCACGCATATATAATATATAAACAATATATATAATAAATTGTATATATATATATATATATATATATATATATATATATATATCTATACTTTTACCGATTGAGCCACAGAGGAGAGTTTCGGCTAGCAAGGTCGATTTTACTGTTTTTAAACTCCAATTCTCCATGATTTTCTCAGGTACATTCATATCTGCTCGATGCGTATCCAAATGTAAACAAATAACGCCACACGTCTGACCAGACGTTCCTTCGAAGCTAAACTAGTATAGCACGTCAGGCTATATGACGGTTCCGTATAGGATACAGGTTCGGTTCCTGTCGGAGGACGCATACTTTCTATGAAAATTTCTCGGGTATTCAGGCCGGTAAATATCATTAATACTGTTTATTATAAACAAAGCATTTACTTAAATATTTGTATCTATAAAAGAACGTACACACACACACACATATATATATATATATATATATATATATATATATATATATATATATATATATATATATATATATATATATATATATATATATATATGAATGAATGAATGAATTACGATCGAATACAGATCAAATATGGATCGGAATTAGACAGAATGATAAGGAAACGGTTTTAAATCTAACATGTTTTGATTTTATTATTTAGACTTCTTTACTACCCACATTATTCATTGTTCACACTAGAAAACGACCATACAAAATTCAGATATGCAAAACATTAAACACCACTGACAGCACTTCTAGCATCAAGAACACAAAGTTCATATTCCTATATACTAACACTCAATCTACAAAATTTTGTAAAAATTAATTATCCCAACATTAGGATCTTTTCCACCACCTCTAAAACAATCGCAGATATAATTAGGAAGAAAAATAGATCCAACACCACTTTAGATGTTTGTATTTATTAAATAAATCTATTGCAATATAGAAACAATTACATCGGTGAAACATCTAAGAGCTCGTATCTATGGACACAAGAGAGAGACCTACATTGGGACAACTCTTTAAACTCATTCGTAATACACAGGAACAAAACTGTCATAAATTTGCTTTTACAAATGACACTCTTATTAAAAAAGAACATAATTCTGTAAGTCGAAAATACTTCGAAGTAATCGTGACAAATATTTTACCAACTATAAACACAAATCAGAAACATTATATTACAGCACCAACTTGTATTAACTCCATAACCCCTGACGAGTGGACGGAGCGACTGCTAAAGTTTCCGTCTACGAAATTCTAGAGTCGAGATTCTGAAAGTAACATCAATCAGATAAGTGACAAGTTTTATATTTGTATTAATCTTATTAAATCCATTGTTAATCTAACGTATGTTTATCTAACACTACCGATGTTTCTGTAAGAATGTCCCCAAATGAACATGCGGATAACTACTAAACTATAAATACATTGAGCAGTTTTTTTTTATATTATTAGGATCCACTTGGATTATATACTAACGGATTTATTACCTGTACTATATATATATATATATATATATATATATATATATATATATTGTGTGTATATTTAGGCAGCATTTTTTCATTGATGCATGTTTCATTAAATAATGTAGACAACACTTGTCTATATTATTTAATGAAACATGCATCAGTGAAAAAATGATGCCTAAATACATACAATTTAAATTACATGATCCAGCATCCCACCAAACTATCAACCCTTGGAATTATAAATGTAGCCTTGTGAAAAGGCAAATTGAAATAGCCAAAGAAAAACTGAACACCCTTAACAGCAACAAACAGGACATCTACGATAAACTAAAAGATATAACTACCCCGGACCAACTGGAGGAAATTACACATAGACTAAAGGAAATTATTTCTCGCTTTCACTTTCGCGTGGTTATGTGTGACGTCATGAGTCGCGGTGCGATTTTCGCTTCTTGTATGCACGAGTTTGTCGTTGCTTGGAACAGAAACAGACATTATTGTTTTGTTCGTGTATTGTTAAATATTGTGTAATGTAATTGTCAACTTTGATAAGGGCTTATATAAGCCGAAAGCTTAGATAGGATAAAAAAATTTGTATCAATATTGTGATTTCCTTTCGTCTTTCAATGATAATGTTATTAAGCTTATCAGACAATATGAAAAGAATTTACATAAAATAAACAAACAACACTTGTCTGTATTATTTAATGGAACATGCATCAATATATATATATATATATATATATATATATATATATATAAAGAGAGAGAGAGAGAGAGAGAGAGGGAGAGGGAGAGAGGGAGACTGCCTGGATAGATTTGCGTGTGAAATTTATTAAAAAGATGGCAATAACTGTAGAAAAGTTCGGTTCGTCGATTATATTGGCGGTGTTATTCACTGTTAGGCCAACTCGGCACCTCCATAAATTACTGTCGGATTAAAAACGCAATTGTTCTTAATTTTCAACGAAATCTTCAAGAAAGACAATATTCAGAGTGAAAATAATCTTTCCCCTTTTGATTTATTATTTTTCCAGCATTCGACATTATTATTTTGAACTTTTTATTTTAAAGCTATTTTTCTATTATGAAGTTCTTATTTATGCGGGAATCGATCATTCATTGAAGAACAGGCAAAAACTTGATAGATAGATAGATAGATAGATAGATAGATAGATAGATAGATAGATACATACATACATAGATAGGTAGATAAAGTTTCTAAGATGTATAGATAAATAGAATAGATAAAAAGTGTCCAAGATAGATAGATAGATAGATAGATAGATAGATAGATAGATAGATTAAGATAGTAAAATAAACATACGTAGACATTTAAAAAATGAACGTAAGAAAATAAAGAAAAAATATACAGATATAGAAAGCTAGATTAAGAAACTAAAAGTTATATATATATGTGTGTGTTCTGTTTATACCTTATAATTGTGGGACAGTCCATTTCATTTATATATATATATATATATATATATATATATATATATATATATATATATATATATATATATATATATAGAAAAAAAAGAAAGAGAAAAAAAAAAGATATATATGTGTGTGTGTGTTCTGTTTATACCTTATAATTGTGGGACAGTCTATTTCATTATATATATATATATATATATATATATATATATATATATAAAAAAGAAAGAAAGAGAAAGAGGGGGATGGAGTGATTAAGAGAGGGAGTAAGAGTGAGCGAGGGAGTGAGATGGAGAAGATAGATGGGGGTGGAGATGAATACGTCAAAGAGATG